CCGTCTTCAGAGGACTCGCTCTTCTTCCCTGAGTTTCTGCCACACTGTAATTTGTACTTATTAAACAAGAATACAAAATAATGATTCTAATGAGAGCCCAGCACGAAGCCACTGATTGCATGATTGAGAGAAATAAACATAAATTAACAGGAGGCGAAGTCAGTAGACAAATGTTCTATTCACAAGGTGGGCATTTGCGTGTGTGTGTGTGTGTGTGTGTGTGTGTGTGTGTGTCTGTGTGTGTGTGTTTTTGCCATGCTGTTCTAAGAGGTGTTGGCTCCAACATTCGTCATGAGAGGGCTCTATAAATAATAACATCAACGTGTATGACTCAGAAACTATGATGTAAAACGTGTGTGTGTGTGTGTGTGTGCACAAATTGTATACATTATTGAAATCAAGACTGCAATTAAAAAAATGGATGTAATCACGTCGGTGGCAGTAATTGTTATTTTGTGGGCTTTGGTTACTTTTGAAGCATGGAGTTTGGAGTTTTGGCCGTCGCCATCTTGGTTTTTGCAACCAGCAGTGACACTAGAGACGGAGTTAACTACAACTGAACAAGACATTTTCAGGCAATCAAACGTTTAAATTAACCTTTATAAATTAAAACCACGCTGACAAAGTGTTAACGTTTTAATGACAGAAACACAGAGAGCACCATGGTAGTGACCTGTCAATCACAAGGTAGCCCCGCCCTAAAGAAAACGTCACTTCATCATCTAATTTTCTCTAAATGGGACCATCGTTTACTAAATGAGCATCATGATGTATCACGGAAGACTAGAAACTAGAGATTAAGACTATAAACCCATCAGGAAAATGGTTATTGAGCTAATAAATCAAGTGATGATAGGATCATTTTCTCAGAGAGTATTATACGATCTGAATTCTGGTTTTAAGTGTTCGTTATCGTACTCAGTCATTAAAGATTGAGAGCGTGTCTTAACTGTATTTAAAAACAGCAGATATAATTGAAATCACACTGGTGACAACTGATAATATCACACTTAGAAACATCAGACTGTAAAAACTGAACAAACTAAGAAAAAGTCATAATTATTGGAACAATGCATTCGAAATTTGAATATAGGGTAGAAAAAGGGAAACCTGGAAGGGATGAGAGTAAGTGTTTGAGGTGAATGGGGTCGGAGGATTAGGGAAGGGTCCTTAAACACTCATTATCCTCCAGGTCTTCTTCATTAAGAGGTGTGTGTAACTCCTGCTAGTATTTTACAAAATGGGTCAAGGGCCTCCTGAATCATTATGTGAAGCTTAAGAGAGCAATCGTCTCTCATTTTGGGAAACACCTAGTGCCTCTAATCCATCTTGGGAAGCTAGGAGGAGAATTCTAGAAAAGCAGGATGACCCTTCAGGCTATTAAGGAATGAAACCTATAACTTAATTGTCTTTTCTGTCAAGCTTACTATCAAAAATATATTCAATTCAAAATTATATAAAATACAAATAGAGCCATGTCATGACCGAAAGAACGAGATCGCGGACACAAGCGGCCGAGATGGGTTTTCTCCGCAGGGTGTCTGGCGTCTCCCTTAGGGATAAGGTGAGAAGTTCAGTCATCCGGGAGGGACTCGGAGTTGAACCGCTCCTCCTTCGCGTCGAAATGAGCCAGGGGAGGTGGTTCGGGCACCTAGTAAGGATGCCACCTGGGAGCCTCCCTAGTGAGGTGTTCCAGGCACGTCCAGCTGGGAGGAGACCGAGGGGTAGACCTAGGACCAGGTGGAGGGGTTATATCTCTTGGCTGGCCTGGGAGCGCCTTGGGACCCCCCAGTCAGAGCTGGTTGATGAGGGGAAAGGAACGTTTGGGGCTCTCAGCTGGAACTGATACCTCCGAGACCCGACCATGGATAAGCGGGAGAAGATGGATGGATGGATGGATGGATGGATGGATGGATGGATGGATGGATGGATGGATGGATGGATGGATGGATGGATGGATGGATGGATGGATGGATGGATGGATGGATGGATGGATGGACAAATAGAGCAAATCTTAACATTTGAGAATCTGGAACCAGCCAGTGTTTGTCATTTGTGTTTGAAAATGTACTAAATTATTGATTACATGTTAGTGATGGATTCTTTACTGCACTGCAATGTCCATAATGCACTTAAATACAGTTTCTTTGTCAATTCCATTATAAAAAAGTAATAATGTCCACTACTAGTATCATTAAATCAGTCACAGCAGGGGGCCCGCTCAGTTTTTATTCATTCAACTGGCTATTCAGATTTAGGATTTAGGTACTTAACGATTAATGAAACCGCTATAACAATGAAATATACTAACTCCTGAGCTTTCATGGAGACAGACAAGTCCTTCAGAATAATAGCACGGTCTCCATTCTTGCTGGAGCTTGTAAAATCACATTTTTCCACCATGTGACAATGTGTTTTAGCTTTACCTGAAGCATACTGGAGGTGCACGTGCACACTTTCTACTTCATCTACTTAAAGTCAGGAGGTAGAGTTGTTCCAGAGTAGATCAATAATCTGTGCGTAAATGTGGAATCTGATGATGGAAAACCTTCCACAAAGTCAAAAAAACACTTTTAAACTGAAAAAGATTATGCAAGTATAAAACGGATCTGCAAATATACAAACAACTCCACCAAAAATAAACATCTCTGAATACATTAGGTAAATGAAAAGCATGTCTCCAACATTTACAACTTTCTAAATTCAGTTTTTAAACTGGCGGACCTCAATTATACACATGTTAATTTGCATTTGACACAGTCACTCTGCCATTTTCAGATAGCACATGAAGTCCTGCAGCTGAGGCTTTCAAAGTAAGAGCAGCAGGTGCCTAAAGTTGTTAGAGCCCAGGGTGTCACACACACACACACACACACACACACAGCTGAGTGTGTGTGTGTGAGCCCCATTTGACAGACTTAAGCACCAGAGACATTTCAAAGTGCAATGCAAACATTTCCAGATCCAAAATCAGTCGACTGAGACCGAAAAACAACGAGCAGCAGCAGTCTGTCAGAGATGAGAGGCTTATTAAAGTCATCATGATTTCTATTTGAATCACAATCACAACAGAAGCCTTTTCACACACACACACTCACACACACACACACACACACACACACACACTCACACACACACACACACACACACACACACACACACACTCTGCAGTGTTCAGACGCATTTACAGACCGACACATAACTGGCCTCTCATCCATTCTTACTCAAGAATCTGATTTGATGAGGAACTAATATCCTAGCATTTCAAAAAAATCTCATATCTGCATGTTTCTCACGGCTAACGGTATAAATGTAGACATCTGAAATTCCCCCTCCTCACAACAAAGCCATGGCATCCTTCACACACACACACACACATCCAGCCCTCCCCACCCCCACATCCTCTCGTCTCACCCCCACCCCCCTCCCTCCCACTTTGACAAGCAGAAAGGCCACGATGAATTCTTGACACCCATGCGAGTTAATTACAACGACTGCACATGTACTGGGGAGATGTGTAATTATCGCCACCTCTGGAAGAGCCAGGCTGTGTTTTAGACGCTCAGAAGAGAAATAGCCCGGCTCAGACCACTTCATGATCATTTCCATGATCAGGGCTGTGTGTGGGGGGAACACATGTGCACAGGGGGGTGGATGTGGATGTGCAAGCGTTTCTCCTGAATAATTCAGACTACATGATGATTACAGTGTTTGAGAGCTTTATTGAGTCTTTTTTGTGTATGGCACATGGGAGCAGAGAGATGAGAATGAAAACACAGCAGACGCTTTTCATTTCCGTTTACAGCACGTCCTTCCTAACAACTCACTTTGCCTTTAAAGGTCGGATTATTTAAATGACAAAAGCAAGAGGCACTGCTGCCACTGTCAGTGTAGTTGGTAAAGGACTTGAAAAAAACCTCAAGAGCGACTCTCTAGCTGCCTGTTGTAATAATCTGTTCCATCCTCTGTCTGTCACACAGAACTGTGTTAGAAAAGACACACACACACACTTCTGTCACTCTGAATATTCAACGCAGATGCAAAGACCAACTGCAATAAAGCATCTCTCACACGCCCACCCACCCAGCATGGGTCCAAACACACAGGGCTGCTCATCGCATCTGCTCACAACACACACTCGCCAAAGAAGAGAAGAAGGACAGAGTCTCCCTCTCTTTGTCCAGCTTCTTTTCAACTGATATTGCTTCACATATAATGGAGATCAGAACACAACTCATGTGGGGAATTAGGTCAAAGAAGCTTTGAGTTTGAGCTGCAGCATTATAGGTGATGATACAAAGTGAAGCCTGTGTGCAAAATAAACACAATGGCCACAAAAGGCGCACAAAGAACCTGAAGGAAGTCTCACACTTATACACAAACTGTATAACAGTGTGCTAAGTATGAGCTGGTAAAATCACCTTAGAGAAAACATGTGTGCATGCATCATTACACTGCCATCAGTGCAACACAGCAGAAAACCAATAAACAATTTCTAAGTGCTTTCATGTTATGGAAACATGGATTAACCTCTTGTTATGCAGACAGGTAGCACCAACACCTTCAATAGCATGCATCGACTGAAGACATTTGTGTATCAACCATCAGTGGATACAGCAGAAGGACTTGCACACTATCATATGATGCATTTGTATAATGTAGTCATATTTTCCATTGTGAGTTCATCATTTTAAAGCATGGATTCGCCTACTCTTGTGCAGAAAGGTGCACATTAAGTCCTCTAAGACTCAATTTGAAAACATGTGGATGTGAATAAACATTTGGATGTGAATAAACTAATTAAATATGCAGACTGAAATTCTCTTAAAGTTTTAAACTTCCTGTATATCATTCCTAGATTGAAGTATGCATGCAGTATTCCATATAGTGAGTTTTTTTGCTTAGTGTTTTTGAGAAAACAGGTTGATCCAATCTCTGTGTGTGGTTCAGAACAGATCACCAGAAGAGAAAAAGCGCTCGTTTTTGTTTTGTTTACTCACGGGTGCCATCGAAGCGCGTGGCGATAGTGTCCAGGAAGGTGTTCTGCGGGGCAAGCAGCCCTCTCATCACCGGCATCCTGCTCCGGGTGGACTGGCTCCTCCTGCCTCGGCGCCCCGGGGCAGAACTGGACTCCTGTCCGGACCCGAAATTAGGCAGGAAGCGAGAGGTGCCCGGTGCGCATCCCAGCCCCTGGAGAAGCGCACCGATCCGAGAAACGCGCGGTGACTCCACCTTGGCACCGCGGGGGTTGTGACCATAATCAACCGAGCAGGGAGCGAGTAACAACCGTGGGATGCACCTGTGTACCTTCCAACGGGGGGTGAAAGGGGAGGGGGAGTAATTCAAACCAAAGTGTGCGTCCGCGAAAAAGCAAAGTGCGCTGCTGAGAGGAGAGGTGAGGAGGATGGATACACTGAGAGTTTGTAATGCTGGAGGAGCGTGGAGGGAACCTTATCGCTGCAAGCTCCTCCTCAACTCTCCCCCTTTCTCTCTCTCCCCCTACTCTCTCTCTCTCTCTCGTTGCGTGGTTATCTTGCTACAGCTGAAAGATGCAGAGTCACGTGACGCCTTTCAGGTCTTGCCATGCTGTTGTCCTGTTCCAAGTGGAGGAGGTGTGAGACTGGGAGACAAAGAGAAGCTGCTCTGGGGGTTCGGGTCTCCCCCCTGATGCTGACGGCTCTTTGTTTTGAGAAAATGTAGATCCGATACAGTCTGCACCTTCTTTCCAAATCTCGGTTTATCGATTATTCAGAAAATCCCACTTCCTTATGTGTTACAGTGTCTATTTAATTCCTGAAGTTTTAGAGAACTAACTTTTCAGGAACAAGGACTTAATTGTACGGTTTTCTAAGAGGAATATAAGACATAAGGAGCAGAGATGATGCTCTCCTCAGGACCTCATGCTCTCACTGTTGGAGAGATCTTTGTTCCTCCTCACTGCTCAGTGAAGTGCTGCCATCTGCTGGTTACACAGCGTGCCTTAAACGCACTTTTTACTTTTTTCCCATGGGAAGGAATAGGAGTCATGATGTAAAATGTGATACCAGAAGTTTTAGTTGAAGTTCGTCATGTCATTACATAAAAACGTAATCTTACAAAATTCTTAAACATAGCATTTTTTTATTTCAAACTGGAAAGCATAATGTTATCAAACTATTTTTAAAATCATTTATGCACTGTATGTTGTATTTATTTTATTAATTTACCTCCTTGTCCTTACCTTATTAAGGCCACGTTTTCTCTTTCAAACTGTATCCTCTTAACTTTGTATTGTATTGTTAAAGTCCTGTATTCAAAATGTTCCTCAAGTAAAAGTAGAAAAATATAGTTAAAGTAGCGACAGTAAAAGTAGTCATTGTGCAGATTGGTCCATTTCAGAATAATATATATGATATGTTTTATAATGATTGATCATTAAAGTGTTCTCAAAGCTGGTAAAGGTGCAGCTAGTTTGAATGACTTTGTATACTGCAGGGTAGCTTGTGAATTTACTCCAGGTGGAACTAAAGTCTGATTTAACACTTGATTATATTTCACACCATTCATCCACATCTGTAAAGTAACTAAAGGTATTAAATACATGTAGTGGAGTCAAAGTACACCATTCACCTCTGAATTGAATAGAAGTACAAAGTTGCATAACATGGAAGTACAGTACTTGAGTAAATCAGTTATGGTCCACATGTTCTCAATCATCCAACCAGGCTCAGCTCATCTTCTTAGTCAGTCATTTTAAGGAGCTGCTTTCCAAACAAAGTTCCAGAAATCCACAGGTGCAACCCCGAAAAACTTCCCCATTTATTTTGTCATCCGAATTTCGTTTCTAATATTGTATCCTTAAGTCGAAAAAGTGCATAGTAACTTCCCTTAATCTGTCATTGCTACTCACTGTTCAGTCCTGCAGTAGCAGGAAGTTACTGATCGATGGATGTGATGCGTTGAACACGTGACGTTTACCAAAGATTTCAAAGGTGCGCACTTTTCCTCCTTTAGTCAATTTCTGGTTTTGTTTTTGGACTTCCGGTCGCTATTACAGGTGTTGTGTTATGTAACTTTACAGTTCTACTTCACTACATCAGAAAGTTAGGTACACATTACATACTGTTTTCGTACTCCTTATGTTTTGTTCGGGTCTCCCGTGACCCATTTCAAGTTGTGTTTTGGACTGAGATAAATCATGGGTCAAAATTGACCGAACACAACACAAGGGTTAACAGCCTTACTTCCAGATTTAAAAACATGTCCATTTGTTGGATAAACTGGAGAATATGTACTTCTGATAGATAGATAGGCTATATAGATGGGAGAGAGTTCAGCTTCCTGACAGCCTGGTGGACGAAACTGTTTTACAAAAAACGTGCACCGCCCGGGAATCGAACTCGGGTCGCAAGAATGGGAATCTTGCATGATACCACTACACTAGCGGCGCTAGTTGAAAGCTAGAACCATTTGCCGTAAAGTCTGGGGGTGGGGTTGTTGACGTTCTTGGGTATGCTGTAATTTATCAGCTTCTGTGAAAACATTTTAATTAAAACATATTTACAGGATAAAAGTACCTCATATACTATGAATTAAAAAAATATTCTTATCTGGTTAATTCAACAAGTGACAAAATGGTTGCATTATGAAGTCAGATCGTATAAGAATATGATAAAATTACCATATTTCTCAATTGATTCGTTACCTCAGCAAATTAATGTATGGTCTCAATCACTAGTTCCAAGTATTTTTCAATGCAGCATGATGTTCATTTTGTAAATTATGGCCCCATTTAGAGATAGATCGATAGATAGATAGATAGATAGATAGATAGATAGATAGATAGATAGATAGATAGATAGATAGATAGATAGATAGATAGATAGATAGATAGATAGATAGATAGATAGATAGATAGATAGATAGATAGATAGATAGATAGATAGATAGATAGATAGATAGATATTGATGCAACAGTAATGTTAATCCAGAAAAATCATGGACTACATTATATAATATATAAGTATACAATTGGGAAAATGTAACTGTGCAATAACTGTTACCTTCAGTACTTTAACTACATCTTGCTAATAATACTTCCACACTTTGAGTGAAATAACATCTAAAATGGAGGACTTTTACTGTAGTGGAGGAGACTGTTATTAGTACTTTTACTAAAACAAAGGATCTGCATAATTTTCCGCCACTGGCAATGTTCATTATCATTTAAATGAACCCCTTGGATCTCTATCAACGTTATTCATCCCCGTAGGGCGGTTGGTTTTGCTGCATAGGGTTCAACATTAAACAAACATCAACACATTAGTCTGGGAAACACAGACTCAGCAGCACTGCATTAATACACACAAGCATTATCATGCAGCAACTACAACAAACTTGATCACTATCCTGTCATCGCCCTACATGAAAGTAAGGCTGGCATGCATTATAATCAGGATCAAAACACATCAAAAAAGAACCGACAGGGGCAACAACTACTCAAAGATCATCATGAAGATAGATATGACCAGCGATAAAGTGACAATAGAGAAGGACAGAAGGACAATATGGACATTATCCTATGAGTAGGCCTCAATATTCCAGTTGGGAAAAGTTCAAGATGGTAATGGTTATGAGGATGAATGAGTGTTTGTATCTGTTACTTTAGAAGTAGTTGAAGAGTCTGCCACCTACATGTAGTGGTTGAATGTTGTAGAAAGCTGATCTTAAATTTTAGTTTAGTTTAGTTTAGTTTATTTTATTTTTTCGAGCGTTCCAAAGAAAATACAAATGAAACAAAAGGTGATACAGACATGATACAGTACTATACAAATGAATGCAATAACAAAACGAAACATTTAATTAATAATTGAATAATCTGTAATATCATTGTCTGATATCAATAAACAATAAACAACAAAGCTTTAGCTAATTACACATCCGAAAAGGGGTCGGAAGAAGTTTACACTTATTTAATCCGACCCCTTCTCCCTTTTTTTTTTTTTTTACATCTTAATATATGTTAACATACAATATAAACATATACGTATTCATATAATATATACAGGCAAGTTAGGACAATGGTCTCTATATATTTATATATATACATTTGTACATACAAAAATTCATACAAACACAAATTCATGAATAAAATACAAAACAAGAATATAAACAGTTATGGTTTAGCAGTTTCATCCCTGTACCTTGTGAGAATTGTTTCTTTATACCTCTTTTTGAATAAGTCAATGTACAACAGCTCAAATTGAGTTGTACTGCCCTCTAGTGTTGGAGCATCCTGTCTGGCCCTGTCTGCAAACTGCAACAGGTTACGAAGTGTTTGGTTTGGTTCAGAAGTTAATGTTTTATCCGTTTTTTAAGCAACATTCATCCACTGTAACCATTTTTTGTGTTTTGGACTGAGATAAATAATGGTTCAAAATTGACCCGTGAACACCATGAACAGTAACAGCTTTCGAACACAACACAATGGTTAACAGCCTTACTACCAGATTTAAAAACATGTCCATTTGTTGGATAAACTGGAGAATATGTACTTCTGATAGATAGATAGGCTATATAGATGGTCAGCTTCCTGACAGCCTGGTGGACGAAGCTGTTTTTCAAAAAACGTGCACCGCCCGGGAATCGAACTCGGGTCGCAAGAATGGGAATCTTGCATGATACCACTACACTAGCGGCGCTAGTTAAAAGTCAGAACCATTTGCGCTAAACTCTGGGGGTGGGGTTGTTGACGTTCTTGGGTATGCTGTAATTTAATAAGGCTTAAGCTTCTGTGAAAACATTTTAATTAAAACATATTTACAGAATAAAAGTACCTCATATACTATGAATTAAAACAATATTCTTATCTGGTTAATTCAACAAGTGACAAAATGGTTGCATTAGGAAGTCAGATCGTATAAGAATATGATAAGAATGACCATATTTCTCAATTGATTCGTTACCTCAGTAAATTAATGTATGGTCTCAATCACTAGTTCCAAGTATTTTTCAATGCAGCATGATGTTCATTTTGTAAATTATGGCCCCATTTAGAGATAGATAGATAGATAGATAGATAGATAGATAGATAGATAGATAGATAGATAGATAGATAGATAGATAGATAGATAGATAGATAGATAGATAGATAGATAGATAGATAGATAGATAGATAGATAGATAGATAGATAGATAGATAGATAGATAGATAGATAGATATTGCATCAGAGAGGTCTTTAAGGTGTGGTTTCCCCTTCATTCAGCAGTGAGTATACATACTAGATATACTCATGAATCATTGACACCAGACCAGATATAGGCCTACTGTATAATCTGTACGCTGATATACAAAATAGATTAAAACACACATGGTGTTTTGTGTTTTGTGTTTATGTTTCTTTGGGTTAAACCCATGATCTACTGGGATAAATGCTCCTTTATATCTTTGCATGGAAGATAACAATTGATGTGACTTTTATCCAGAGTTCTTGTCCTTGTTTTTTAGTTTTTGTATGTCTATTTCTATGTAAGCTAAGTTAGTGGAATGAAAAAACTGAGTCAAATTCCTTTTTCTTTTTTCTTTTAGCAAACTGTATAATAGGCCGATATATGAATGAGATGTGTTTAACTAGACAATTAAACAATTATCAAAGTAATACATAAATAAATACATATTTATATTAAGTGCACCATGAAATAAAATGTGATATAAGAGTGTTGGGGGAGGGGGTTAAATAACAATCATTATAGATTATTTAGTAGTATTTTAATGTAGACATCTCCAGTCTATGTGGCAGGATAGCGCAGTTTCCCTCTGACCAATCAGCGAGCTACATTTTAGACCCCGCCCACATGGATCCAGCCCCTCTCGCTTTGTGGGCTTATCTGATTGGCTCTTAGCCTGTCTTCCTCTTCGCTGATTGGTCAATATCTTGTCGGTGAGTTTCGGGAGGGACCAGGAAGCCGGGTACCTGCCGCTGCTCTGTTAGCCTGATCCTGAGCTGTGTTCCGCTCAGTCCGGACTTCATTCCGCCTCCTCACCTCTTCGTGGACCTTTAAACAAACCAAGGTAGGCGTTTGAGACATGTAATGACATTTTTCATACTGCAAAACGACGTAGTGGCGATGCAGCGACACAGGGAAGTGTAATGCGCTGTTATCTCATTGTCTGGGTAGCCAAAGTGCGCAGAAACCGTGCATAAATAGCTAAAATAATCTATTTAGCGTGCTCAAATCTACAGAGTTGAACCAAATATCACACCGAATGGGGGTCTGCATTGAAATGAAGTCGAGTGTATGATAAATGCGCTCTTAATATGATCTTTAAAGCCCATAATCTTCGCAAACTCCTCTTGTTTTCGTGTTTTTTCACGTCCCTTATCGCTATTTTTATCTAAATTGTACGTTATTCTGTGTGTTAATGGTTTGCACTGCTCGTCTGGCCTGCCTATAGCTGTCTCTGCAGGCTGTCTCCTCCCCATCAGGCGACCATCATCCTGTTTGCTTATGTAACTTTTGGGAACGTCCTGTCATTTCCCAATCCCCAATAGAAATCTGCATGCTGGGAAACTACCATAACTGTCATTAACACTCTAAAATCAAGTGGTCATGCATTCACAACTCAAAGGAAGCTATATACACTTAATTTACAACACTATCACAACATTTAAAGTATTTATTTTAATTAATAAGATAGGATAAAGTATACCCTGATTTAAGTTTGCTGGGTTTTGTTAACCATACAGTATGTTGCCGGTTTGTTGCTCGGCTCACTTTGACAGATTTAAGAGGATTATGGAGTAAATCAGGGGGGAATAAAATGCTGAGTCATTGCCTCGCTACTCCTAGTTTATGTTTGAATGAATTCATTCATTGAGTAACTGTAGTGTTTAGTAGAGGAGCTTTCTGTCTCTATCACACAGTTAAATTATTATTTTTGTATGCCTAGAATTGAGCAAAGGGTTTCAATTAAAGGGGTTTTAATTGCTTTAAGAATGTACTATATAATACCAGACAATACCTAAACAATGCAAGTCTCTTTCAATCAAACATTTCATTTTGTCGGACCAAGAGTCAAATCAGATCTTAACCAATGGTTGTATGTTTTTAAATATCACTGCCACAATTTCTTAAATCTGTTCTTATACAAGCTTACTTTAAATGTTCTAGTTTGCTTTATTCAATCTAACAAGGGTTTATTGTCCCTCAAGGGCCATTTTGTTTCCGCATTTAAACAAAAGTTAGAAAACGTGGTAGAAATGCACTGTGTTTAGTGAAACAACAACTTTCAACCCATTTAATAAGAAACAAACTGCATTGCGGCAACAACTACAAATAGTAGTAGTAGTAAAACAGTAGTAGGAGGACCAAAGTGCATTGCGACAATAAAACGGTGACTAAAGTTCATGGTTAATGGCAGCAATTACCTGTGTGAACACCTGAGCCTGAGACCCTAACCCCCGTCCAGAGGGCAGAAGGTGGATGTCTCCTTCATGCTCTTTAATGTTTGTTTGTTTATTTGTTTGTTTGTTGTCCTCCCGCAGGCTGAAACATGGCTCAGAAGATCAAGGCAGGCTCCGTGGTGGAGATGCAGGGAGACGAGATGACTCGAGTCATCTGGGAGCTCATCAAGGAGAAACTCATCTTCCCCTACCTGGAGATGGACCTGCACAGGTGAGAACCATACCATACCATACCATACCATACCATACCATACCATACGGTTGGCTTGGCAACTGGAAGGTCACCAGTTCAGTTCAAGCTACCGAGGTGTCCCTGAGCAAGGCACCGTTCCCTACACTGCTCCCCAGGCGCCGTACACCATGGCAGCCCACTGCTCCTAACACTAGGGTGGCTCAAATGCAGAGAAACCGTTTTGTTACAAAGTACCTGTACTACGTAATGACAATAAGTTGAATCTTCAATCTTCTTCAGCGTGCATTTGATCTGGATTCAGCTCTGTATTTACTGAGAGGACTGACTGGAGCACAAAGGATGCTTCAGTCAGACTTTATTGAACCGAGGGACCCTGTATCTCATGATGATAACGTGTGTGTGGATCAACCCTGTCCTCTCATTGCTTTCATATTCCTTTAAACAAGTGCAGGACTTCCTGTCACCTGAACCTGTTGTTTGTAACATCTGTTCCTGAGTCAATATATAATAGACGTTTTTTTACACAACGTTTTGTAATAAATCAACAGTGAGGACTTTTCAGTGAGACTGAATTAAAGAACATTAGCCAACAGTTTGTTCTGGTTTGACTGGTTTATCCAGACCCAAACCAATAGAGAGTGTGAAGAGCGAGAGTATCTGATAAGCACCTTGTGAACAGTTGCAAGGCTTCTTATGAAATCAGAGGCCTCCATGATAGTGCCTGAGTATTTCTACATCCACACTTCATGTTTTAAATCAAAGTAATCTCTGTACACACAGGCGTTTTAACATTTTTTCAAAAACAATGGATTAGTGTGGATGCTAGGCAGAAATCTTGCTAAAGTTAAGTGTTTTAAATCTAAAAGGTGGTGTGGATGTAGCCATGGGGTGTCCTTAAAGAGTGTTATCTTACTTACAAAGTATACGAAGTTAGGTACAGTGTGTGATTGCACAGTTATTATCTCACCTTCATCATTAGAATGAACAGCAGTTTGATAATAGTAATGATTTTATTGCCTTATGCATTCTTTAAAGCAAAAGTGCTATTTAAATATTAGTTATCTATAATTATTAAGATATCATGTAATCAGAAGGACATCAAAAACCCTAAAAAGTGGAGAAGACATTTCTTTACAAGTATTTTTCAAGACGTATAACTCTCTTGTGATACCTCAACCGTAAACCATTTAGTTTACAATCATCTCACAATTTGTCCTGATTAGGGGACTAATCATTTTGTGTAATCAAAGCGCATGCAGTTCAGGAGTTTCAGTGGTTAATACTAATTGTTTAGTCTCTCTAAAACATTTAAAGAGGAAGTCCCCGAGTACTTTTTTCGCCATACAGTAGATGTATTGTGAACATTTACCGTCAGCTTCTGGAGCATCCATTTCTACATTTGACCTCACCGCTCCTCTTATCTTCTGTATGGACTTTGTACGGTTAGTTTATTTACATGACCTTTTTATGTGAAGTTTGAGTCCCTTAAGCCCCGGACACACCAAGCCGATTTTGGCCGTCGATGAGCGTCCTGTCGCCCTACTCAGATTGGTGTGTCCCGCACCGTCGTGTCTTTTCGGCCGTCAAAGAAATCACTCTGATTGGCTGTTCAGCTAGCGAATCAGTGCATGAGAAGCGAAACGGAAGTGAGGGACCCAAACAAACTATGAAGAAGGCAAATCTGAGATGTCATTTAACTCCAGCTCTCAACACAGGTCCGGGAAAGCCCCATGAGCTTCTCGCTGTAGAGTGAAAATGGAACGCACGCTATTTGTTGTTTGTTTATATCACGCAGTCTGTTCTTCTTCTCTCGGTGTATCACGCAGTCTGTCTTCCGGTTGCCTCTTTTGAATGACGAATACACACTACCGCCGCCTGCTGGTAAGGAGAGTTATTGCCACTCACGCATGCGCAGTTCGTACGTGCTTCTTGGCCGTCGGCTGAAGTCTTTGCGGTGTGTTCCAGTGCGACACATGGCCAAGACGCAGGAGACGTGAGGTGACAGAACAGTCGGGGGTCCGTCTGTGTGAGTTCTTTGGTGTCAGCTTGGTGTGTCCCTACCTTAATGTTCCCATCCCTCACAATGTGTAGTGTGGACAGATAGCCAACACTTTGCACTTTAGATTCCTTTTGCAGATAGAAATTGTAGTATTGCATCGTCAAACGTTAATGAATTGTAGTGCGCTTATTGGCATCAGACACGTTTGGTTCAGTCTGGTGGAATTCATTATATTTTGGAATAAAATGCTTTACATTAATTTAGCTGATACTCTTATCCTTAGCGACTTACAATAAGTGCAATAAACCATGAAGATGCAAACTCATAGCTGCAGGAAGCCTGAAAGTACATTCCCTTCAAATAAACCGTACTATTGTAAGCACTGGTGCGTACGTCGAGCTTGTTTTAACCCTAACAACATATCTTTGTAGTGATAAACAGTAACATTTACAACAGCTCAAAACTACTTTATAAAAGGATAATATTCTAAGCCTATCCCTTGTAGTCAAGAAGTCCGAAATCACCATATTTTTGGTGTATTCAAACTAATATTATAACGTGATGAAATCAATAACATAGATCATAGATTAGACCAAAATAAAGCAACTGACGGCATTGATTTGAGACTTTTTCAAATAAGTGTGATTTAAAACAACTTGGGGAAACTCTTTGTTTTTGTAGATATAAAGGGGTAAACATACAGTGTTCCTTCAGACGACAACTTGTTGAGGATTTCTGGAGTATCTGAGGAATGCAAGAAGTGACACAACGTTAGAATCAATAATGAACTAGGTCAAGTTCTTGTTAAACCTGAAAACTCTTGTCTATATTTCTCACTTTCCTCGAAGTATGTATCCAGTTAGTCATCACTCTCTGAACGTCTTATTGTGGTTGGCTTTTGGGGGAAGGGTAAAAAAAGAAAGTGGGTAAAAGGTCACGGCTGCTTTCAAACAATGCCATTAGGTTCACTAGAAAGTAGGCTAATACAGGAAGGGAATGATAAGCACATTGAGCTTAGCCTAGTTTCAGATACAGTATACGTCCTTTTTGCACAGTTTGTGAGGTTCCAAGTGAAAAAAGTGGAGCAACCTTTGCAGTAGTCTGGGCAGAAAGCCAGTCCTCGTGGCACAATTGGTTCCTTGTTTCCTTTGCCTTTGTGTTGTTGGCTGGTTTTGCAGATTTCCTGCTCACTTAGGCGAGTAACAGGCATAACAAGAAGTACAGAGTGAATACAGTACTGTGCAGGGAGTGAAGTGGGAAGTAGTGGAGTACAAATACTTCGTTACTGTACTATACATGTTTCTGGTATCAGTACTTTACTCCACTACTTATTTTTCTGATGACTTTTTACTTTGACTTCTTACATTTTGAACACAAATACCTGAACTTTCTACTTCTTACATTTTGAACACAAATACCTGTACTTTCTACTTCTTACATGTTGAACACAAATACCTGTACTTTCTACTTCTTACATGTTGAACACAAATACCTGTACTTTCTACTTCTTACATGTTGAACACAAATACCTGTACTTTCTACTTCTCACATTTTCCAAACAGGCTGGTTCCTTTAGTTTGAATGTGTGTTTGGTGGCGTGATCATTATTATTTAGAGTCATTGCGTGCCTATTGATTTGAACACGATCCGTGTATCCATCATTTCCTGGTCTTCTCTAAAGAAGAGGGACCAATGAAAACGTTGTCATGTTGCCGTTGTTCAGCATGGAAACATTCATTAGCTAACAATGACATTATTGTTCTATTAATATAAAGGGAGGTCAGGTACTCTTTAAAACAGCTGCTAGTTATGGGTACTTTTTACTGAAGTACATTTCAAAACCTCTTTACTTTTACTTGAGTAAAGAAGTTTAGTCAGTACTTCTACTTTCACCAGAGTATTGTTAAACACAAGTATCTATACTTCTACTTGAGTAAAGCATGTGTGTACTTTTGCCCTCTCAGGGAGTGAGCTACAAGGTTAATATCTGTTCTTGATGTACACTGTGTCAGGGCTTTTAAGATATATAATTAGCCTAGATAAGAGGATAAAACCCTGGCAGCAGTTTGAGTCGTTCCTCTAAGCAGAAGCGCTCTCTTTCAGTATTCATTAATGTCGCTCATGTCCTTTGACACAGTTTTCCCTTCACAGCGATCACACTGTAACATCCACAGAGTAGCTCCTAGCTAATTAAAAGAGAAGCAAACAGAACGTTCTCTTTTACTGCTTCGTTGTGCTGTGAGCAAACAAGGCGCTCATAATCTCTGTCCTTCTCTGAACAGAGTGTTTCTGTTTAACGGTGTCTCATGCCTCTGCTGTTCAAATTATAAATGGTCTCTATGTCTGGTCCATTTCTTCTTCTTACATCTCCGTGTAATCGCAAACTTAAACGCAGAGCAAAACATGAAGCATTTAAGGATCAAAAGGTGTAAATTAATCGGAGCTCCCAGTAAATATTTGGTTTATTTTTAGGCCTGTTTATTTGCTCTTTTATCAAATATATCCAGATCAAAAATATGCTACTTTCCACATTATTTTAGATTTTCTTTCACTGATTGATCCTGAAGTTTAGCAACTTGTTTGTTAAGAAAAAAAAGGCTTGAAAAAAGTATTGTTTTTCTTAAAGGGCCCATGTCATGCTTTTCCGGTTATTACCCGTCCCCTTGTGTTATGAAGGTTTTTCTGCATGTAAACGGTCTGCAGAGTCAAAACCCTCAAAGTACACCCTGTAGCGAGTAAAACTCTAACACAGAAAAGACCTCCCCAAAACGCCTCGTTGGAGATACGTCATTGTCCATTTGATTCTTCCATTTCGTTCCGGGTACGGCATGATGTCAAGCCGTACCCGGAACGAAATGGACCAACCCGTGGAGCCGTTACGTTACGTCCACGGAGCCGTTACGTTAAGCCCCCGCTGATTGGTCCAAATTGACCAATCCACGGACTTCCTCACAAACACATCTGTGTGCAGGGAGCAGCTCAGCTGATTTCTCCTCCCTGGCTGCAGGCTGATAACAGACAGTTGGGATCGAGGCGAAATTCTCTCTGCAGACCCATTCTCTCTGCAGACCCATTCTCTCTGCAGACCCATTCTCTCTGCAGACCCATTCTCTCTGCAGACCCATTCTCTCTGCAGACCCATTCTCTCTGCAGACCCATCCTCTCTGCAGACCCATTCTCTCTGCAGACTCATTCTATCTGCAGACCCATCCTCTCTGCAGACTCATTCTCTCTGCAGACCCATTCTCTCTGCAGACCCATTCTCTCTGCAGACCCATTCTCTCTGCAGACCCATTCTCTCTGCAGACCCATTCTCTCTGCAGACTCATTCTCTCTGCAGACTCATTCTCTCTGCAGACTCATTCTCTCTGCAGACCCATTCTCTCTGCAGACCCTTTCTCTCTGCAGACCCATTCTCTCCGCAGACCCATTCTCACAGCGTTTATCAACGTTTTTCTTACTCAATATCAAGCCACACTTATTGTTTTTACTTCGGCTGTGACTTTGTGTGTGCTCAGGATGAGTTTGGCTGAGTTTCGCTATGTATCCTAAACAAGGAAACAACACCTGCACGGAGCTCAGCGCGATTCACAACGTCCCGACCAATCAGAGCACACTGTGCTCACAGGGAGGGTGGGGGCTGGAGCTATTGGAGCTACAACGAGCCGTTAAAGGCAGAGAGTGAAATTCAGTGAATACACGTAGTTTACAGAGATGCTGTATGAGAAACCAATGTGAGTTTGGAAAAATGCACAATATAAATCTATTTTAGTATACCTCAACAATGGAATTATGATCAGTGGAAATGGCCATGACATGGGACCTTTAAGATAAGAAGTACTTTATTGATCCCAATTTGGGACATGTTTGCGTTGCAGCAGCATAAAAAGACATGGCATTGTACAATACAAACTAAAAGACAAGAAATAAACAATACAAAATGTAAACATCTCAATAGAAATAAAATAGCATTTAAAAAAAGTAGAAAATATACATGTTTAATTACAAATGTACAGTTGCAAAATATAAAAACATTGATAAAATTTGTATCAAATATATCCAGGCTGCTTTCCACATTTTAGATAAAACAAATGTTCACTGATTGATCCTGAAGTTTAGCACTTTGTTTGTTAAGAAAAAATGTTTTTATGCCTCAAAATAAAGTCTTGAAAAAAGTATGGTTTTGCTTACACAGGTGGAGGACATATGAACACATTTCCAGGACAAACGATACGATAATACGATACTACTTGAATGGTCAGATCAAGTCTGAAATGCTCCTTGCATCACAGCTGCTCCATGTGTAACATGAACAGACGCATATCAAGACACAACACATTTAACATGACTGCAGGATCACTGAGAGAAAAGCTGCTCAAAGAGCCTTCAGCGTGCATTCGATCTGGATTCAGCTCTGTGTTTACTGAATGGATGTTTTCTTTACTGTAATATTAACTAAACTCCCTCATCTTTGTCTCCTTCTGTACAGCTATGACCTGGGTATGGAGAGCCGCGATGCGACAGACGACCGGATCACGGTGGAGGCGGCGGAGGCGGTCCAGCGTTACAGCGTGGGCATCAAATGTGCCACCATCACGCCAGATGAGAACCGCGTGGAGGAGTTCAAGCTGAAGCAGATGTGGCGCTCTCCAAACGGCACCATCCGGAACATCCTGGGAGGAACCGTGTTCAGGGAGCCCATCCTCTGCAAGAACATCCCCCGCCTGGTGCCCGGCTGGACCAAGCCCATCGTCATCGGGAGACACGCACACGGAGACCAGGTACTGTTGGAATGCTTTAGGAAAATGGAAAAGGTTCATGTCTGTGATATTTCAAAAATCTAGAAGAAACCTCCCATACGTCGAGCAAAAATAAACATGTTTACTGCCAGTTAAGAAAAAATGGGTTCGGTATAACTTTTGTTATTAAGGCTTAAAGTTATGTATAATTAAGGGTTAGAGTGACAGGTGGGTACGGTCACAGGGGGCTAGCTGCTAGCCATGAACCACATCTTTGCCTATTTTTGGATTACACAGGAGTTGCAAAGATAGACACTCACCCCAGAAACATATAGGTGTCAATAGATTCATATTTGATTCATCCTACGACTTCTGCATTCTGGAAAATGCATGTTAGGTGGAGATCAAACGTCCTAATATTACACTTCAAAGTGTCAGCTATACACATTCATGTCTAGCCTCACAGGAGGTTGAAATTATCCTCAGCAGGATTACAGCTTACACTCAACACAATTGCCTTCCTTACACTCATCTTTCTGTCCTCTTCTTTTCATGTCTAATTATATCGTATGTGGCACTGTGTGAGAAGCCTCTTTCATTGCCTACACTTGAGCGATTATGCGTATGACAAAAAAAGTCAATCTTTGGATGTTGAAAGGAGCGACTGTAGCTGTGTGGCATCATGTGGGAGTCTTTATCCGAGTGCAGAGAAACCTCCACCAACTCCCTGATTATCTCACAGAACCACCACTGTGACTGAAGCATGATTCCAAACAAGCAGCTCTGTGAGAAGCCGACTGCTGCCTGGCTGTCAACTCACGTATGAGTTAATGTGAGACATTGTCTGGTTGTCAGGAGAGACGTAGTCAATAATTATATTGCATCAGCCTTTGGACCGTAATGTTCTACCCCCTAAAGCCCCGACAAGTTGCAGCAATCACAGATTCATATCATACGGTTGCTTGTGGCGCTGTGCCAAAGTCAACGGCTCTACACTCAGGTGAGAGTAATGCACACAGCTGTCAGTTATAATATATATATAATGTCCTCTGGATGTCAGAGGTATGCACGTTAAAGCCTCAGGTGACTCCAGAGCTGCAGAGGGTTTATGGCTCTTATTTTGTAACTTTGAGCCAACAATCATTTATAAGAAATAATGTATTCATATCTTTCAAAAGCTGTCTCTGAAAGTCATAAACAAGACACTTCCAGACCCCGCAAATACCAGCAATGTTAACTCCTATTAGTGTGGACGTGCTGGAAAACAAAAGAGTGGACCTCAAAGATGAAACCACACTTGTATTGTGTCTGAAGCAGTTTTGGAATAGACGTGTGAGACACCCTGAGAAACATTTTCTACCATAATCGCTCCAAAGACCCAAAAGTGGTCCGAAGATTTCTGTGTTATCTCAATATTGTTTAATATCCCGCTGACTGAAATCCTGCTGGTGTTCATTTGTTAACCTTGAACACCAGTAACAAACCTGTTCCCTAAACCTTCCATTAAAACTGTCTCCAATGAGGCAAATCAAATGAGAAAATCATTCAAAGTGATGTATGGTAAAACTGATTTAACCTACATTTCTTCATTTAGCTTAAAAACAATTTTTTTTTTTTTAATGTAATATGACATAGAAGTAGTGAGTATCATATAAGATTGTGCCCATATTGACCCACACTAGAGAGGGGCAACATATTTTGGTTCTTTTCAGGGGCTGCTATTAAATGCATCACAATGAGATAGCTAAAAACTGAAACCCCAATCTAGGACGTGATTATAAAAAAAAAAAAACTATGTTAACAAATAATGTATGCGATAAGGCTGCAGAGACAATTTTACAAAGAGATGGAGTCCTGTATGAGCCTGATGGTATTCTGAAACTCATTCCTTTCTAACCCTCATCTTCCTCCATGCCCCCCCCCCCCCCCCCCCCCCCCCCCCCCCCCACAGTACAAAGCCACAGACTTCGTGGTGCCCGGTCCTGGGAAAGTGGAGATGACCTACACCCCCAAAGATGGAGAGCCAGTGAAATACGTCATCCATGAGTTTGAGGGTAAGAACACAACTAGTCGATACACAGAGGTGGGAAGTAGTGGAGTACAAATACTTCATTACTTTACTTAAGTACATGTTTCTGGTATCAGTACTTTACTCCACTACTTATTTTTCTGATGACTTTTTACTTTGACTTCTCACATGTTGAACACAAATACCTGTACTTTCTACTTCTTACATGTTGAACACAAATACCTGTACTTTCTACTTCTTACATGTTGAACACAAATACCTGTACTTTCTACTTCTTACATGTTGAACACAAATACCTGTACTTTCTACTTCTTACATGTTGAACACAAATACCTGTACTTTCTACTTCTTACATGTTGAACCCAAATACCTGTACTTTCTACTTCTCACATTTTCCAAACAGGCTGGTTCCTTTAGTTTGAATGTGTGTTTGGTGGCGTGATCATTATTATTTAGAGTCATTGCGTGCCTATTGATTTGAACACGATCCGTGTATCCATCATTTCCTGGTCTTCTCTAAAGAAGAGGGACCAATGAAAACGTTGCCGTTGTTCAGCATGGAAACATTCATTAGCTAACAATGACATTATTGTTCTATTAATATAAAGGGAGGTCAGGTACTCTTTAAAACAGCTGCTAGTTATGGGTACTTTTTACTGAAGTACATTTCAAAGCCCATACTTCTTTACTTTTACTTAAGAAGTTTAGTCAGTACTTCTACTTTTACCAGAGTATTTTTAAACACGAGTATCTGTACTTCTACTTGAGTAAAGGACGCGTGTACTTTTGCCATCTCTGTCGATATACGATCCTGCTTCCAGACCCCTCTCTAACACAATAACAAGTCTTCCATAACGATAATAAATACTGAAAAGTGTATCCATCTGACCGTGATATTATTGCATGTGAATGTACTAAACTGAGTGTGTGTGTGTGTGTGTTCAGGCACAGGGGGTGTAGCGATGGGGATGTACAACACGGATAAATCCATCCGGGACTTCGCCCACAGCTCCTTCCAGATGGCTCTGTTGAAAGGCTGGGCGGTGTACCTCAGCACCAAGAACACCATCCTCAAGAAGTACGACGGGCGCTTCAAGGACATCTTCCAGGAGATCTACGAGAAGTAAGGAGCTCATGCATAGTGCCTCTCACTCACACACACTTTTAAACCAGTAGCTCTCACAAAGAGTTTTAGGCAAGGCAAGTTTATTTATAATAGAATAGAAATATCAATAAGATATTTTTTACCGGCGTGTGTTATGTAAGACCACAGAACAGTGTGACCTTAGAAAAGAAGAAACCAAGATATTTAGGATCAGAAATGTGTCCTACTAAGACTTTCTTTCCTCCTGTGTTCAGGGAGTACCACGCTCAGTTTGTGGAGAAAGGCATCTGGTACGAGCACCGCCTGATCGACGACATGGTGGCTCAGGCCATGAAGTCAGACGGAGGCTTCATCTGGGCCTGCAAGAACTACGACGGAGACGTGCAGTCCGACTCTGTGGCTCAGGGTGAGTGGAAACATACTGAGGATGGAAGATCATATAGTCGGTGTTAAAGTTCTTAAACACGAGGAGGGAAGATTTCAAACACCTGCGAGTCCAAAATGAGTCGTGGAGGGACAATCATAAACGGAGATTTTTTTTAAATCTTCAAAGTGTGGGTGTTATGTGCAAATGAAAGATGTTTGGCTTGATTGATTGATTGATTGAAAAGTTTATTAACAGCTTGTATATTGGGTACAGTACAGTACAGCTCAAAACATACAATTGTTAAGGGGATGCAGACCAGAGAAAGACTTTCGTCTTGTTTACATCAGGGTCCCCCATTTCCAATTCATCATATCATTTAAGACATACAAGACATATTTTACATACAGATGGCTTATTTACAATTTACATACAGGTGGTTTTTTACATACAGATGGCTTATTTACAATTTTCATTTTAGATTTCGTTCTAATACATCCTAACCGGACATTTAAGACATACCTAGTCTACAGATATACAGTTAGTAACAGAGTCTAAAATGCGAGTATATACATAGATGGGGGGGGGGGGGAAGCTGTCCATTGTACGACAGGTTGAGATTTGTACCATTACCGGGGCCAGTTTTGCAATGCTCTCCCCCGAAGGTGCTCTTTAAGAGAGGTTTTGAAGGCTTCCCTCTGTGTCACCAGTTAGTGAGCGTGCACCAGATGATGCTAAATGCTAATCCTACCTCCCACAGTGAATGATACAAAGCCTTCTGAATTCAAGCAAAGTTTCTCTTTCAAAATAGTTCAAACTACGGAAATATTGCAGCTCTTTTTTCTTCAGCAAAAGAAAAACATGCCAGAGAAGTATGTCTATTTGCCTGCTGCAGTATTTTTAGATCAGTGACACTTAAAGAAGATGTAACTTATTGTCGTTTAGAAGAAAGTCGATATTACAATGAAGGATTTCTTATGGACATACAAATCTATAATCTTTTTTTTTTAACCAGAAAAAGTTAAAAGCCAATTGCAACAAGGTTCAAGGTTCAATGTTAGTTTATTAGTACAGCACATGTTAAGACACAGAGGCAATTCAAAGTGCTTCACATAGGCATTTAACAAATACTAATTAAAAACAAAAAATAAAATTCATAAAAGCGATAAAATACAGGTGTTTCTCTAGAAACAACTCATCCCTATCAGGAGTTATGTTATTGACTATGTGTAACAACTATGTCTAACAACATGAATAATAATCTGACTCCTCCATAGGAGTGACTCCATGCTGATTTGTGCCGTCTTAGTTTAAAACATGTTCTCTCGGTAATATGTTTTTGTGTCTCTGTGCTCCAGGCTACGGCTCCCTGGGGATGATGACCAGCGTTCTGATCTGTCCTGACGGACGCACCGTGGAGTCTGAGGCGGCGCACGGCACCGTCACCCGTCACTACAGACAGCACCAGCAGGGGAAGGAGACCTCCACCAACCCCATCGGTACACAGCTACCACCTACACATAAACCCAAAGATCAAGATCCAAGGCTTTTATTGTCATGTGTACATAGTTACTGTCGTGTGTACGTAGTTACTGTCGTGTGTACATAGTTACTGTCGTGTGTACGTAGTTACTGTCGTGTGTACGTAGTTACTGTCGTGTGTACGTGGTTACTGTCGTGTGTACACGGTTACTGTCGTGTGTACACGGTTACTGTCGTGTGTACACGGTTACTGTCGTGTGTACGTGGTTACTGTCGCGTGTACACGGTTACTGTCGCGTGTACACGGTTACTGTCGCGTGTACACGGTTACTGTCGTGTGTACACAGTTACTGTCGTGGCTTCCTTCCTTGTTTTTCTATCAAGCCACTAGACGCCTTAAACACACATTTTTAACTCGTTTTATTTCCTTTAAATTACTTACAGTTGAAGAGTAGCTTGGCCTCCGATGGTTTTTAGATGCGATGTGTTGGCTCAAACTAAAAGAACACACTTTTACACATGCAACAAAGAAAAGAGGCCTTTACAATATTCAAAACAAATAGGCAAAACTCAAATAACATAACAAACAACTTAGGTATTCTTTCTTTCTTGATAAGGCTTATATAACTTCATAACTTAAAGGGTAATCAACGGCGTCTGTCTGACAGGTTGCTGCCCATCACTGCCCCTTTAGAGGAGGGAATTGTAGTCTTTTATAGTGTGTTGACTACAGACGTCACGATTAGGTGGCCTTTCTTATAAACTAAATACTGGCTCTAACAGCTACAGTTTAGATATATCAGTGAAAATCTGAGGTCACAGATTCCTCCAACAGTGCAACACAATAACACAGATAAAATTGTTAAAATAGTGAAAGTAATACAAATAAAATAGAATAGAAATAATGCAAGGAGAGTCTATATAAAAGTAATTGGAATATGATATATTAGATAAATAATGTGTAGTTGCAGACAGATGAATGTTATGGATGTCCTTTCAAAAGCTCAACTTGTGTTTTATCCGTCCTCCAGCCTCCATCTTTGCGTGGACGCAGGGCCTTTTGCACCGGGCGAAGCTGGACAAAAACTCAGAGCTGAGAGTTTTCTCCGAGGCGCTGGAGTCCGTCTGTGTGGAGACCATCGAGGCCGGGTTCATGACCAAAGATCTGGCCATCTGCGTCAAGGGACTCGCAAAGTGAGTCTCTCCTTTAACTAACACACCGTTTCTGCTCCACTGTATCTGTTAGAAAAATCTCACTGGTCCCCGGCTTGAACTTCAATCTCAGGATCCATGTATTTGTGATCCTTTCCAGAATGGAAGTAGTCATCACATACAGAGCATCAACTAGTTCCTGAACAGTGTCCTTCACATGCTGATATCCAAGAGAGGGAGTTACACAGTCACAAGATGGAGGAATATAAAGCAGTATTCAATGTTTACTTCAGATTAGCTCCACGTCAGAAATGATCATGCTTGTCATATGTCTATCTCCATAGAGGCTGAATCATCATGTTAATCACATAGCTATCATATGCCTCAAACAGTCCTGATGCTCTTCTAGGTAATCATACATCCTGTCATGTTCACAGCTACAGTTGGGATACCTTTGCTATCATGTGTACTCTGATATTGGAAGAGGACATTCAGTATTTTCCCAACAAGTATATAAGAATGGATTTACTAGGGGTTGGAGTTTCAACCACTATTGTACCTTCATTTCAAGTCAAGCTGCACATGTCATACAATATCAGGCAGTTAAATATGGCCTTGTGTGAGAAATACATTCAAAAGCTCCTTTTCACAGATTAAGTTTGTATTTTAGGTCAACATGTCTTTTGACATTTGCAGAGAAATTCCATAATTCAGTAGATATGGCATTTTTCCTTTATAAACATCTTCAGTATTCGCTTGCACAACACTAGCATTGTTTGACTTTGGTTAAAAAGTTTAGTATCTACAAGTAAAAAGAAATGACACTTTCTGTAGTCTTGTAAAATAGTCAATGTATAAAGTCAGTCAATACTTATTAGTGGAAAGCTTTAGCACATATTGAGTTGTGTAAACTTGCTCCTTATCCCCAGTACAGTTTGTCCTACTAAATGTGTCAAAGTTCGTCTCTCCTTATCTAACACACAACTGTTTCTGCTCTTCTTGCTGCAGTGTTCCCCCTGTACACGCTATCATAGATTCTTTAATGTCACCTTATGTTGTACCACTATCTCAAGTCTAGCTGTTTGTATCATACAACATCAGGCCGTAAAATATGAATTTTGTTGTAATTAATAGTATGTTTTATTATTTCTGCAAAAGATTAGGTTGGTATTTTATAACTGCATGTGAATTTCTTCTTGCATTAGCAGAGAAAATCGAAATTCATATGATAGATATGGCCTGTTTACAATAAGAGAAAACATGTGTAGTCTTCTCCAGTGCAACACTAGAAGATATGCACTGTTTGAATGAGGCTAACATAAGTTGAGTATCTCAAGAAGCTACACTTAAATCAAACTAAAAGTATATTAAATGACACTTCCTGTAGTCGTGTCACCGATAAAATCAGTCAATACTTATTAGTGGAAAGCTTCAGTACATATTGAGTTTTGTAAACTTGCTCCTTATCCCCTCTACAGTTTGTCCTACAAAATGTCTCCTTGTTAGAATAAATCATCTGTAATACAGCTGTGTCAACAAATGTACCGTTGCAGTCACACTCCCAAAGTATCGTTCAAGTTCACTCAACCCTTTCTCCTTGTTCTCTCTTTGCAGTGTGACTCGTGCCGACTACTTGAACACCTTTGAGTTCCTGGACAAGCTGGCAGAGAACCTGAAGATCAAGCTGGCTAACCCCCCTAAACTGTGATCTCCCTACACACCCCCCCCCCCCACACACACACACACACACATTCAAACACAGGAGTTAACACTGAAGACGAAGGAGTTTGCCCTGAGAGATCTTCAGACTTAAGACGGGAACCTTGGGTCTAATGGATGAATGTTTCTGGTCCAGAAGGAAGAGGAGTTTACTGTAGGCTTTCATCCCTGTTAACGCATCGCTAGTAGACAGTAAACATTAGGACTGACACCGGGTGAAGGACCCTGTGTCTTTACCCAGAATGCACTAGGTCCCCCTGTGAGTGTGTTGTCAATATTTTCTTGGTGACAGAATGTGTGCGAGGGAGCCTCTCCACCCTCACTGCCTTACTCGTTTAGTGTCAAATTCATCGGTTCATTCTCATTTGTCATGCTGTGTTTTAACGGTACATCGAGCAACACTTTCGGCCTGTTTCCTCTCATGAAAACGGACGTGCACACCATGACGTTTTACTGTTCTGCAGCGCAACATACGGACAACAACTCTTCTCACACAGCCTGCTAACAGACGCATTGCTTTTAGTTTTTATACTGCTATTAAACTTCACTAGTCAGTTGTTGGAGGTGTATTTATTTTTTCCTTCCTGTGTGTGTGCGTCCATACAGTATGTCAATAACCTGCCAAATAAATCATCATGTTAAAGTCAGAATATAACTCTTAATAAATGAGTTTTTGAAGAAATAATGCACGTGTTATTCTTTTTCTTTGGGTGTGTGCTGATGTCATTAAGGGGTGCAACTAAAAATGTATCTGCTTGTTAATTTACTGTCTCAAATTAATCGTCTTGTCTTTATCATGTGAAAAATCTCAGAGCTCAAGGTGACCGTTTTAAAGAACAGAAAAGAAGCTGGAATTTCTTTAAATGTACTGCCTAGAAATGAATGAACTTATTATATTACCATACGTTTTAGATGTAAACAAGAGTTATCACATCACCAATATGCAGAACACCAGCACAGGAACCTGATATCATTCATATTGTTCAATACATATTTTCATGAATAGACCTGATGTCAAACAGCAATTTCTTTGACTGAAAAATGTCTGTTGTTTTTTTAAACTTATTTAGATGGAGGGATGGATATTCAAACAGTTCATTTCAGTCACAAAATATGGAACTATGTGCACAACTATTACAGAGAAGCAGTGGTGGGCAATTAAAATATTAGATCTTAGCCAACAATGCTCATTCAATATGTATACAAAAAATAGAAAACAAAAAAATGCAAGTAACAGTAAAATAAAAATCTACGGCATTCAATTGTGCAAGTTATAGGGGGCTAAAATACAAACATGAATACAATGTTTAAATTGTGTTACTTTGTGGTGGACAGTATTGCAAATAAATGAACTTAATGTTAACATGAATGTAGTAAATGTGCATTCTTAATTAGTAGTATTAAATAAAGGTTAATGATATCACGTGATCAGCTCAGGAACTCAAAAGACTGGTAAAACCTAAGATAAGAAATAAGATCAGTTGGAAAAAAACATGTATATTTTTAGATTTGAATATAGATTATTTCTTTTTTTTTAAATACTCTTTTTATTGTCATTTTTGTAAACATTCAGACATAACATGCATACAACATACACCCGCATACGTACACACATGTGTGCACAATAGTTATTGCAAATATAACATACATCTCTCCATGGGTGACAATAATCTCACTTTATTCATGTAGCAAGATATCTATGTGTATCTCAATTTACATATCAATTACTTAAATACAAGCACAGAGAGAAAATGAATAAGAATAACACATAATCATATTGGCCTGAGGTGTGGCGTCATTACAATGAATGAATCAAATAGAAGGGAAAGAAAAATACACATACATATATAGTAATAATAATAATAACAAATACAAAATAAAAAGTATTTCTGTCCACAAATTGACAGACTGGGCCTTTAAATGGACACCTCCCTCCCCCTGTTCTTCCAGCAGAAGGCGCTGTTCCATTAATCCCTCCCCCCGCTGTATGTGCAGTAAACACATACAGTAACAGGTGAGTTGAATCTACAGAACAGCATCTCAGTGAACCTGTTCCTGTTTACCATCTGTTCTGAGAGACAGACATGGATCCTTATCAGAACCAGAGGGACTACAGGAACCAGCAGAACCCCGGGAGAACCACACCTGGAACACCTGGGACATCTGGGGGTGATGATCAGACACCTGTGGACCCCGGAAGAGAGGACCCTGAAGCCCAGAATACACCTGCGAACAACCGGGAGCCTCAATAGTGAGTTATGATCAAATTCCTACCCAGTATTTCGACCCTAAAGTCCATGTTTTTGTCCCTGACATGCGGTGTAACTTAAAAATAAAAGTGCAAAGGAACATATATGAACTTTTTTTATTTAGTTTCGTTAATATGTACTACATTGGTGTAATATTTGATTAGTAAAAAACATAGACTGGATGGTAAAAATATATTTTAAATTAAGTTTCCGCTGTTAACTTTCAGTTTCGTTTCCCTGGATTAGAGAGATACGATGCCTTCACTGTTTCCCGGAAACCGCAACTGTTTATCTAATGTAGCACTTCAGACTTTATAGAGCAGGGGTGTCAAACTAAATTTCATCGCGGGCTACATTAGCATTATGGTTGCACTCAAAGGGCCGGTTGTAACTATATAAATATACATATATAAATATATAATATATATATATATATAAATAATGTATTATATTACATTATTGCCTCTGCATTGGATTATTATCGGATAGGTTAATAACTTCCTAATTAACTACGTCTGAAAGCAGAAGTTCAGGGCAAACAATTGCAAGTCTCTTCAGTGTGCATGTCACAAAACGAGATGCATTGTGGGACATGTAGTTTATGGGCAACCTGCTTCTGTAAAGTGGCATGTAACCGTATAATAAACGTATTATATTCTTTGCAAGCTCTTGCGGGCCACATAAAATGAAGTCGCGGGCCAACACCCCTGCTCTAGAGTCTATAGAGTCTGAAGTGCTACATTAGATAAGCAGTAAAAACTGCTTTAAAAACTATAAATATTACTATGTGTTCAACAGTCACACATAGTAATATTTATAGTTTTTAACACGAAAAACAACAACGTGTAATATGTGAGGGAAAGTTTGTACTCGGCAAATAAAATGCATGAATCATTTCATTTATTTGGGCTAATAGAAAAATAAAAGGCCACTTTAGGAAAGCAGAAATATACAACATGACCTGAAAGCAACATAAAGTCAAATGTTTACAAGATAAACAAATTATTTTTGTCTTAAAGGTGGGGTAGGTAATTCACTTCAGAAACACTTTTTGTTATATTCCATGGAATGCTCTTAACATCCCGATAGCAATGAATACATTAAATGCTTTGACAATAAATACATAAAAAAATGTCATCTGTGGAAGCCGTAGTACTGTAAAAAGTACGACCAATCATCTGAGCCGGCCCGGCTAAAATAACTGGATGGCCTACCTGCCTGTCAGCCTTCCATCTCGTGCACAAACTTATCTCGTGCCCTCATTGGTCATGTGCGCGTTCGTGTGTGTTGGAGGAGTACGGGCCAGATTTTTTTCGGCTGCGTACTTTCAAATTCTAGTGCACTCGAGCTGGTCTCTCCATTCTTATCTACCCTACCTTTAATTGAAGGCAGCATCCTACTTGTATTATTATTTCTCATTCATGAAAGCAGCATTTCTATTCTTTATTTTACTCATCATCTTTTAGCCAAAACAAAATCAGTTTTGAACAAAGGCCTTTACCAGAGTTAACAATATTTATAAGGTCTTATATATATCGTAACATTTAAGCATATGTTAAATGTACTTGTATACATAAGTTATAATAAAACAACACTGAAAACAACCAGTGATATATAAAACCATTACTTATTGTCTTCATGAAATAGCATTTTAATGGTTTTGATGCACAAGTTGTTGTTTGGATCCATGTTGTATTCTAATTCTAATATTGTATGTACTAAGCATTCATTTGTCTATGTTAAATCTTTTCATGAAATCCGTAACTATAGCTGTCCTATGTATTGGAGTTGAATATATATATATAACTACATTTTACACATTAGAAATCCAAGGTAGTTGGGTTTATCATGGGAACGGAGACCTATCTACTTGATACTTTTGAAAGACTTTCCAAACTTGTATTTAGTGTTTTTTACACACCAAAAACACGTGTACGAGTTATTGGCCTATCAGTACAGTATGAAGTTATACCTGGATGAATCTGATTCAAGACAAAGAATACAAACCAAGTATACCGTCTTATCTTTTACACGTTTTTTTATCCTCACAGCTGCAGACACATTTGAGTTTTCATTAAGGACCAAGGTTTCACTAACACACTCTCTCTGTCTCCATCCTCAGCTCAGTTGGGTTTACGAGGTTCCCGCCCAATGAATCCCGACGAAGCAAGACTCAAATGAGTATGCCGACATCGCATCCTTCAAATACCAAATAATGTACCTACATGTTGAAATGTATTTCCCGAATAACAAAGCTCTGTGTTGCTGCAGTGGCTCAGAAAGAACTGGAGGAGCTTCAGAAGTGGAAAGAGGAAAATAAACCCAAACCTGTGCAGCCCTTCTCAGAGAAGCTGGGTAAACAACACACAAGTACACTCCATGCATATCAGCTTTTTGCACAACATTATTCTTATGTGTTGTGTGCTTAGTCACCTGCTTCCTCACTGATATGCTGTACTTTCCTGTTTAATTGATCAAGGTGGGAACGCAACATTGTCTGCAGTCAGGGAGAAGCAGCATTTAGAATTACATCACGCCAAACTGCAGAAGAAGGTACTTCCTCACACGTTTACTGTCATAAACACAGAATACACTCAATTCATACGCCCTTAACCCTTAGATGCATAAGTGGGTCTTTTTTGACCCGGTGAGGTGGTTTTCTTGAAGTATCTTTGTAATTACATTTTTTTATCATTTCATATTCCAGCTATTCCTCAAAAAACATGTTTTGGATATCATGCCATTCAAATTTTAAATGTTCATTTTAAGAAATTGTAGTTTTTGTATTACTACCCCAAGCTTCCATAAGTGGGTCAAAAATGACCCGCATGCATTTCCTATGGGATCCAATGGGAACCTTTGATTCTTATCACCTGTTGCTGTCAGGACTACATTCACTGTAGACCACACAGACGACATCACAAGTGACACCTCTGAGGAAGATTATTTCACACAGCAAGGTCTGATACCTGTCAGTATAATCATAATAATAATAATACATTGTATTTGTATAGGGCTTTTCAAGGACTCAAAATCACTTTACAATATAAGGGAAGGTTAGGGTGGGGGGTATAGGACTATCAAACTTGATCAACCGGCATGGATTGATGGGGGGTGGGCTATGAGTAGACAAGAGGAGAAGAGATGAGTTTTGAAAAGGGACTGGAATACTGTGAGGGTCTCAGAATAGCGGAGATCTTTGCATCGATATGTTCAAAACGTTCTTTTTTCAAAATGTAAAAAAAATGTCTAAAATTATAAATAGTGAAAAATTAAATATAAAATATTTCTAGTGTGAACCAAAATATAATACTAAATATTATACAAGTGATTTTTCTTAACCAAAATGACATAAAAACACATATTATTCTAATACGGCTCCTTTTTGACCCACTTATGGAAGAGTGTAGGGTCCAGTCACTCAAAGGGCATCTAA